TGGCGCTGAGCGTGCTGCTGCTGCCGCTCGCGCGCTCCTACGCCCGCCTGGCGCTCGCCTGCGCCGCGCTCGGCTTCTCCAGCGGCCTCTTCTCGCTCATGCCCGTGGTCACGGAGGACCTGGTGGGCATGGAGCACCTGCCCAACGCCTACGGCATCATCATCTGTGCCAACGGCATCTCCGCGCTGCTGGGGCCGCCGTTTGCAGGTAACGCGCGCGCCGTGCCCAGGCTTGCGGGGGGCGCCCGGGCGGGGGGCGTTTCTCGGCGATGCTCTGAGGTCCCGGGTAAGGCGAGGCAGGCGGTGGCTCAAACCGGAACGGGTGGCTGGCCCGCGGCCCTGGAGGTCAGGCCGAATCGGGCCCTGATGACGCGGAGGTGGGGGGGTGGCCCCGGATTAGCGGGGGGCCAGTGCCACCAGGGGGCTCTTCCTAGGTGAGAGGAGGGGGCAGGAGAGCGGGAGTCAGAGAGATGGGGAGATGCTGCAGGAAGGGGCCAGGAGCCCCAAAGCAGGCGGCCTCCGGAGGCTCTGAAAGGCCAGGAAACGGAGGGCCTTCCTCCCAGTTCTCCAGGCACCTGGATTTTAGCCCCTTGGGATCCAGTTTAGCCTGAGCTCTAGAACCGTGAGGTCATAAATCGGAATTGTTTTAAGCCACCAGGTTCGAGGCAATTTGCTCCAGCGACAATAGGAAATGACTACAGGGCCAGATCCAGCCCGCAGGTGTGTTCTGTTGGATTTGCAGTCTCGAAAATCTGGAATGTCACCTAAGAGTCCCAAGTCTTATTTTCTCTTGGGGAACCCCCCCCCCCCCACAACAATAGAAGATCTGACAGTTCTCCATACTGCTTAGTAACAGAAATCAGCGGGATCAGAGTTGCCAAGGATCCCAGGCTGCAAACCAAGGAACAGAGATCAGACTGTAGGGGGAGAAGGTTGTGGAAGACCAGGTAGGAGCTTGTCCCAAACCTCTGGGCTCTGAGGAGCTTCGTCTGCACGTGCTGGGCCGAAGCACGTGGTCCGTCAGGTACAGTGTCTCGCGACTGCTTTGCATCTGAGCTGGAACTGCGTTGAGCTCAGACTAGCAGTATTAAAACAGGCACCAAAGAAGGAAGTATTTAAAAATAAATCCTAAAGGTAGATCGGAGAACGTATGGGATTTAATGTGACATAAAATTGGGGACGACTCCTCCAATTTGTATTGCAAAATCGTTTGGTGAAGTTGGGTGTACTTTTAAAAAAATTAACATATTAGTTACTTTTAAAGGCTGGGGTGTTAGGGAAAGATGCGAGATTTTAAAATAGAGTGAATTCAATTTAAGTTTGTAACAATATGTAATCTGCTTAGCAGACGTTCTCTGTAGTCTTCAGAGACAAGAGGTAGCATGGCGTGGTGGGAAGGCGATGCGGGTGTTCTAAGGGTGAAGGTGTTCAGAAGGGGGAGGACATGTACGGAAGAGGAGCCAAGCGATGTGACTGAAACTCCAAATATTCAGCATGGCTGTGCTCGTGTCGGCTCGGGCGGTAGGGGAGAGCGGCGGGTAGGGGCCACACCGCAGAGCCCGGAGCTTAGAGCAACCACTCCAACTAGAGTAAATAGTCTGAACGAAAAGCAGCTGAATTTTCAGCCAGCTCGGATTCTGTCCTGTTGTGAGGTGAGGTCCGTGTTAAGCAGCGATGGTAGTCAGCTCACTTCAGCTATTGGTATTTGTTGTTTAGAGCCACCGTTTCTGCTCTGTCACTTGACCATATGAAAAATGAGGATTTAACTATTAAAATGACGAGGCTGGCTTTCCTGTGGGATGAGTGGAGTATGAGAACGTCATTTACAGTGACTGCTTTTAAGTGGTTGCTTATGGATGGTCCTGTTGTGTGTATACTCTGCTTACACGGACAGACCTCTCTGCATTACCTGCAAGGGGCTCATTCATTCATCATGATTCACAGTGGTCCACGGTCCCCAAATGGTGACACTGAGCAGAGACTCCTTCACTGGTCATGATTCACAGTGGTCCACGGTCCCCAAATGGTGACACCAAGCAGAAGTTGGGTTTGGGTGTGTTTTTGTTTATATGTCAGTTTGCCTTTCTGATTCAGTCCCGAGGCAGAATCATTATTTTTGGACTATATGTCTAATCTTCTCTGTTCTTTTCACCTCAGACTAGAGATTAAGATGCTAGAGCATCCTACTAAGCCACATCAAAAGAGTCTGATACTTTATTTTATTTTTTTTAAGCAAATAACAAACTCAAAACTTGGTTAACTTTTAAAGTATATCCAGAATTCATAGCTTTTGGGTGGTTAAAAAAATTGTAATTTTTAATGCTATTAGGTGTTTTTCTTTATGACTACGGTGACTGACCCAGGCACATTCATTGTGCACTAGGGACAATGAACAAAGCAATGTAGACAACTACCAGGAAGTCAGAGGTGCTGGCTCCCCCTTTAAGACTGGCTTCTGTGTAGCTGTTTGTTGGTGGGGGAAGTTTAAGTTGCATCTATGTATTCATTTGCCAGTAAGATATTTTTTAAAAGATATTTTTGTAAAGTGGCCATGGAATGCTATGTTGGTCATTAAATCATTTATATTTTTCTTATGCCTTTGCTAATTTAATGCACTTGAAGTGGAAAAGTAAGTGCTTACATTTACATTTTTACCATAAATAAAATTCTTGTGTGTGGCTTAATCCTCTCAGTTTGCATAGCTGGCTCTGTGGGGACCATGGCATGTGACCCACTCTTAGAATTAATCACTGAAGGGAAAGAAACATCTTATTTCATAGTTTCTGAGACTTTTTATTCTTTTCACATTTAACATCTCTGAAATTGGAATGCATTTAACGAAGTCCTAAAAAAAATGGAGTCATATTTTCAGTGACAAGGATATTTCTTTCTTATTGATACATAAGGTAGCAATGAATCATGTAATTCATGGCAATTTTAGAATCCATGAAATATAGTAGTATTTTACCGAGTACCCAGTAAGATTATTATATGAAAGTATTAATATTAGAGTATAATTTGAAAAGAACTGATAATTTAGTCAGCATTTAAGGCTATCTCTTTGGCAACTAAAGATTTTGTAAATACAAACATTAAAGTTTTATAGCTGTAAATATAAATTTTATATAGCCTGGGAAGGTTAGTTCTTTCTGAAACAGATGTTACCCTCATACACCTCCGAACGGCAGAAAGTCCAAGTGTCTTGGGCTCAGCCCCTTGATATCCACTAGAAACATCTTCAAAAGCCTTTTGAGAATTACCCCGAGGGCTCTGAGCCAGAAGATTCTCCCAGTGGGTCCCCAGGCTACTGTTTCAGTGCCTTAAAAAGTGCCCTGGCTTCAAAGATAAATGCATCATGCCCAGGTACTGGGAACTCTTGGTTTGGCTTATACAGCCTCTACTTAAAAACGGCCAAAGGAAACGTTTTAGGCATTAAAGGACTTACTAGTAAATTACAGAAGTATTTACAGTTGCAGAAAATGCTTGCTTTGTGTTCTTGACTTTATCAACCACGTGACACTGAATATTCTTTTTTTTGTTTTGCAGGGTGGATCTATGACGTCACACAAAAATATGATTTTTCCTTCTATATATGCGGTTTACTTTATGTGGTAGGAATCCTCTTTTTACTCATTCAACCGTGTATTCAATTTATAGAACAATGCAGAAAGAAATCCAGGGGAGGTGCGCATGTGTAGTGTCACGTGATGTTTCATGCGCGATTTCTTTGTGGTTCTCACGCCTACCTCGCCTGGTCGCTGTGAGAAGCCAATGACATATGGTGGGAAAGCGCTCCGCAGGGTCCCCGGCACTGTCCCTTGTAAATGCCACCGTCACTGCTTCACTCACGGCAGCACTGCCTTCTTGCGCCGGGAGCGACGCTGAGCGCCAAGGACCCCGCGTGTTTCAGAGGTGACAGCACCCTCCGGACACAGCCTGCTAGCAACTGGTAGAAATGTCCTTACAAAAACCATCCTCTCGCCATCCACTGGGCAAGGGTTTTAGATGCGGCTTTTTAAAACAAAGACAAGGATTGGAAACGTCCCGGCCCCACTCCGGCAGACCTCGCTTTGTTGTGCTTCACTATTGCTCTTCACAGACTGCGCGTTTTTTACAAATCTGAGGCCAGACCCGCCACCAGCAGAATGATTGCGACTCAACGACTCGCTCTGTGGCCCCTCGCTTTGCTGCAGGGGCCTGGAACGGAGCTGCAGTATCTCTGAGGTCTGCCTGGACTGTGTAAAGTGAAAATAAAGTGTCTAAAGGCTTCTGAAAAGCTCACAGGTAAATGGGTTCTAAGCACAAGACTATGCCTAGGATTCAGAAATTCACTGTTTCAGGGAGCTATCGATTTCCCACTGTCAAATAAATACAGGCTCTAATTTCGAAGGTAATACATGTAGTACAATTACAGAAAACATTTCTATTTTTATGAAGTAATTCTGCAACTAGGGGGTACAGTTTCTCAATCTTCTCCTAAGAAAAGCATTAGCCATCAATCCTAATTCAGTAGGATCCAGTTATAAACTGAATCTTGAGACCAAACCTAGGTAACAATTTCCTTAGCGAAAGTCGTATTTGTACCCACAACTTCTGAATCAAGGGCTATGATTCAAGCACTTTAATTCATACCATCGGCCTCTTTGTTTATGAGCACGATCTGGGGCCTATAAAATTTTTCTTTTCTGAGTTTCTCATGCCTGGTAAATAAAATTCGTAGAGAACTAATTGCGGATTGACATGAGGTTGGTGGTTAAATGATTTGTAAAGTGAGTTACGGATCCAGACTGTAGGACGGTGAGGCTATAAACGGAATGCCCTTGGGGTAGGTGTCTGTGCGCCTGGCCTGGGGGTATTGGTAGCAAGGAGCCCTCTTGGGTACCTGAGCTGTGCACAGTTTAAAAATAGTCCCTTGATCTGTTCCATACAGGAGACAACTGTGACCCATGACATCCAATAATTCTCTTCCTTTATCCGAGAGCTCTATTTTTCTAAGCCAAACATTTTTCAGACTGCAGAATGCTCTTCCCAGGATCATTTTGAAATTTCTGGCTGCCTTACTTGTTTACACATATTTTAGAACTGTTTAAATTTCTACTCACAATTTGCTCTTCGCACACACAAAAATCCTTTCATATCATTGCCCAGTGTCGTAGGTCAAATTTATCTAAAGTGAGTGCAGACCACTCTCAGTTTTCCTTGGTAATTAGAGGCAAGAACAGTACTAGTAATTAGAATCACAGAATGGTAACCCCAAGCCTAATTTTAGCCAGCGGTTTCCGTCTCAACTCCACAAAACCCTTCAGAGCTATTAACAAGTAATTGCATAGACAAGTTTCCTTTTTGCTTTATCTTCATTATTTCCTGCCCTAATGCCTAGTGGGAGGGTTTGTGTAATGAGAGGGAACCCGAAAATAACAATAATAATAATAAAAGGCAGCTAATGGAAAGAAGAAACAAGAGCATGACTAATATACACACACAATATTACCTCCAACAATGTGAGTGTGCATGAGCGTAGGTAACAAATCGCATGGCACACTCATTGGGTTCAACACGATGACCTATCCGATACCATTACAGCTTCGGCTGCTGTTAAAGAATCCAGCTCTCTATTTTGATAAAGGTAAATCTTAAATGCTGAGGCAATGCTCTCTCCCTCTATATATTTACGATGAAATACGGATGGTTAGATGGAAAAACGTGTTTTAGAACTGACCCCAGGACTTCATCACTTTCACATTCCGATAACGCCAAATTGACAAGGGGCAGTGTTCGAGATTCTGCAGGGCGCTCCGGCCAACGCGTCCTGACGCCCGGCTGCTGGTTGTGCGACCATGAGTATCCGTTTTCTGTCCAATGACCGGCTTTAGTTTCAGGTCCACGTTAAACCTGCTCATGTTCAGTTCGTACAGTTGTTTGTTGACTGATTGTTTTTACAGAAGTGGTTTATACCACATCAGAAGGTCCCAGTTGACAAAAATAGAGTAAAATCTGACTGCAGTATTCATGCCAACAGACTAATAGAGAATGCTGTAAAGAACTATAGCACATATATTCTTTCCTGTTTAAAATATTATTTGCAGTTCTCTGAAGATATTATAGAAGGTTGTGTATTTATGTGCTTTGTAGTTTTCCCCTCATGTATCCAAGTAATTTTTATTTCCATACAACTAAATAAATGTTGTCCTGTTTAAAGATGGTAAGTTTTTGTATAAAATCTCTATTTTCTTGGCCTTTAAAGAAAAACTCCTAAAGTATAACTGCTGATTATCTGTTTGGTTCTGTCCCCTGGGAGTTTTTATTAAGTGTGGTCATACAGCCACCTGGACAGAACCACCCAGGGACGTGTCCAGCTATTAAATTTAAAAGGCACACACCCTGCCCAGCTGGGCGTGGCTCAGCCGTTGAGCATCGACCTAGGATCCAGGGATTGCAGGGTTCGATTCCCAGTCGGGGTGCAAGCCCGGTTGCAGGCTCTGTCCCCGGTCGGGGTCGTGCGGGAGGCAGTCAATCAATGAGATCAATGATGACCCTCTCATTGTTGATGTTTCTGTCTCTCTCTCTCTCCACCCTCCTCTCTCTGAAATCAATAAAGATATAAAAGGCACACACCTTTTCATCTAAAGAATGCATTCCTAAAGTTTTTTCCTACACATGAACAAAGACAAATGAACAAGAATTTTAAAAAATTTATTGTTTCTTATATGAAAGACTGGAAACAATTTTATTGCCCATCAATAGGGAACTGTTAAATAAAATGTGGTATTTATACAACTATTGTTTTAAAGACAGATTCCTATATAAAACAATATCCACGATGTATTGCCAAAAGAAAAAGGGCAAGATAAAATATAGCTAATGTGCTCCCAGTTGTGCTTTGTTGACAAAAGAAAGCGGTTCATATGCCTTGTATTTGTGTGGGACGTTTCTGGAAGGAAACGCAAGAAAACGTGAACGGTGGTCGGCTCCGCGGAGAAAAGCTTGGGGACTGGGGTGGGTCTCACTTTCTCCCTTATGCACATAATGCTTTTCCAATTTAAAACTTGTATCCAAGATTATTTCAAGTGCAGATTCCTGGGGCTACTGAAAACCTAATGAATTGGAATCTTGGGGGACGGGGCCAATAAACCTTCCCGTTAAATACGCTTATCAGTCGATTTTTATGCGCACTCAGACTGGAGACCTACCGCGGGCGTTTCTGAGTCAAACACCCCGATGCGTTTCGAGCTCTGGCTGGGGCGAGGCGGCGCGGGCGGGGGCCTCGCCCTGAGCGCTGCTCCGCGCCGGGGCTGCTGGAACCAGCCGCGCCTCCTAGTTCTCAGGGACGGGGACAGAGGCGGCCTGGATGCAGCAGAAAACTGCAGCGGCGCCGCAGGGAAAGAAGACCCGTGTCCCTAAAGTTGCCTGTCCTCCTCGCTTCCTCCACTTTGCTTCCTCTTGCGGGCCGGCTGCGCCTTGGTGAAGAACATCTGTCTCCAGCCTATGTCCCCGGCCAGGGCGCGCATGTCAGGGGTGACCTCACAGGCGGTCTCAACTATCCGCTCCCACAGCTGGTCAGACCTGCACAGCTGGGAGGCAAAAGTCAGAAGTGGGTCACGTGCTCGTGAGTGAGTGCGAGCCGGGCACCCACTCTCGAGATCGCTACCCATGTCCCGCTGCCCGAGGGACACGGGAGGAGCACTCCGTGGGCACAGTCCCGCCTCTGAAGCTCCCTCTCGGAGGAAAGAGGCAGCGCACAGATAGCTAAAGGAAAAAGCATTTGGTTAAGGGAATATGTCCTGATCTCATTTACGATGCAGAATGCAAGAGAGTTCTAGGGAGTTCAAGTACAACATTGCTTAGTTAATTTCCAGGGAGCCACGGAGCAGAGGCTGATGGTGGTGCGGCCAACAGATCTGCCGCCCAGCGCTGTTAGCTTCTCGAGCAGGAGCAGCTAATTCCTGCGAAATCTGCACCCGGTTTAAGCCCTCACTCAAGCCATCTCTCCTCTGGGCTGGCACAGCGACAGCTCAGTCCCTTGCAGGCTACTCGGCGTTGAACTGCATCAAAATGACCACACAGCCTTTGGGGACTGGAGCAGGCACGAGGAAACCCCCCCCAGGCCTGTATCTCTGGAGATGACCAGGGCCCATCGTGCATGGTGGATGAATAACAGCTGACCTGGCTGACAGGACAAAAATTAGACCGAGCTCATTCTTTCCACCCTTTAAGTTTTCTTTTTAGAGGCAACTTGACCACTTTGATAGGAGAGGCAGACAGGCTACAGGTAAAGCCCTCAGACTGCAGAACACTGGATCCGACTGTGCTCATTTAGAAAGGTGTCCGGGTTTGCAGGATCTGCTCCTGTAGAAACACAGGCACGTAGCGACAGGGAGGAAAAGGCCCCAGGACGGCGGCCAGGCCCCGATGTGCTGAAATATGTGCACTTTCCTCTGTGGGAAAGGCCTCCACTAATGGCCCAGTCGCTCTTCCTTTCCTCAGAACTCAGTGTAGTTTAGTGCACTGCTTTTAGCATTTCAGCCACAGCTACTTAGAAGGGTGGTTGACGCTGAGGCAGAATAGCGAATGCATAGAAAAATGATAGGTTAGAAACTAATATTAAAGGTAAAAATGAAAAAGAAAAGTGAAATACAAACTAAAATTACTCCACTTGGGGCCAGATAAGCTACTTCACAACTTTCAATAGCCCATCCACCCATCCATCCATCATCCATCCATCCATCCATCCATCCATCCATCCATCCATCCATCCATCCATCCATCCATCCAAACTATATGGAATGCCTGTGATATTCAACAGGGCTCTTGGTTTCAGGCCATAGAATGTATTCTAGGTTGTTTAAGCAGAAGGGGAGTCAGCAGGGGCAATAGGTAGCTCACAGAATGTCTAGTAAAACCAGAGAGAAAGGTTCAATGCTATACTGCCAGGAACAATAGCAGCCAGAATTACAAAACAAAACAAAACCTCCAGACTGTTCTGGTAGAAATCTCACTGCTTCTGCTCTCCAACAGTTGGAACCTAGGATGCAACAATGCCTTGGACGAGACACTAGATCCTTCCCCATGTGCCTCCAGCACTGTGCTTGTGGGAGGAGCTGGTCTCCTAGCTCATGTCTCCCTCCCAAGATTTTCTTTCACACAGGTGGGTCTACTTGACAGAGACTAAGCTATATCCACAAACTAGCTATATCCCCACGCTAGCTATATCCCCACGCTAGCTATATCCCCACGCTAGCTATATCCCCACGCTAGCTATATCCCCACGCTAGCTATATCCCCACGCTAGCTATATCCCCACGCTAGCTATATCCCCACGCTAGCTATATCCCCACGCTAGCTATATCCCCACGCTAGCTATATCCCCACGCTAGCTATATCCCCACGCTAGCTATATCCCCACGCTAGCTATATCCCCACGCTAGCTATATCCCCACGCTAGCTATATCCCCACGCTAGCTATATCCCCACGCTAGCTATATCCCCACGCTAGCTATATCCCCACGCTAGCTATATCCCCACGCTAGCTATATCCCCACGCTAGCTATATCCCCACGCTAGCTATATCCCCACGCTAGCTATATCCCCACGCTAGCTATATCCCCACGCTAGCTATATCCCCACGCTAGCTATATCCCCACGCTAGCTATATCCCCACGCTAGCTATATCCCCACGCTAGCTATATCCCCACGCTAGCTATATCCCCACGCTAGCTATATCCCCACGCTAGCTATATCCCCACGCTAGCTATATCCCCACGCTAGCTATATCCCCACGCTAGCTATATCCCCACGCTAGCTATATCCCCACGCTAGCTATATCCCCACGCTAGCTATATCCCCACGCTAGCTATATCCCCACGCTAGCTATATCCCCACGCTAGCTATATCCCCACGCTAGCTATATCCCACACACTAGCTATATCCACACACTAGCTATATCCACACACTAGCTATATCCACACACTAGCTATACCCACACACCAGTTGCAAAGGCAGTTTTTACCTTTCTAACCTCTATGGTACACAGAGGCAACTCCATCTAGCAAAGGGATTTACACGGGTGTTGAGCAAACCAATCCACAGCATCCTCTCAGTCTGACCTGCTCTTCTCATCCACACAGACCCTCCCGCTGTCCTGCTTGGCTCCCTTGGGCCCTAGCTTGCCTGTGGGATGGGGAACATGGGTCATCTCTATTTCATGACCCGTTACACTCATTTCTGAGGAGGAAGCAGCTGGCACTCTTCGCTTTCAGACTTCATGCTCCTGTAAAAGTGCTCTAATAAGGGAAAAGGGTGATTAACAAACAGAAATGCGTAGTATAATAAAGCATACTCACTTTTGTTTCTTTCTGCATAAATATCAGACCAAAAACTATTGTATTTACAGAATGGTTACTGTTAAACAGCAACACTGAATTTAGGAAATGACAGCCCCCAAAACATTGTGATGTTAGGCAAGTTGGTCATTATCCCATCTTCAAGAGTCACTCAAGGTCTAGTTTCTCTACTTGGATTACAACATATTCTAAATATAAACACCAAAGGAAAAAGTTAAAAAGTCTCCTAATATTAAAAACAAAACACATATGAACTTCCCTTAAAAGGTTTAAACTCTAACACTAGTGTAGATGACGATCCCCTTCCCAGTAACGACATTTCAGGATATCAGTGTGTCTTACATAGTGAGATTATGGGAGAAAACTGGTTTTAGGGGAAGGGAAAGAATTCCCAAGAGAGCTGAACTTTCCACCAGTGTAACTTCATTTATGACTCATTTTATACCGGAAATATTTACAGTTCTGTTTTATATTATAAGTTGGTCATAAAATACCCCCCATCTAAGACGCCCAAACCTTGGGGGTTTTTGCTTGGAAGAGGCCAAGCTGTAAAACACAAGGTACCCCTCTTGATTATGGTTCCAGTTACTTTGATTCCAAGCACAGCAAACTGTGGGCTTAGCGCCCCCTGGTGGTGGTGCATGAACTTAACATACATAAGCTATCACAAAGGTTGAAAGGGATCCCAGAGTGGATCTAATTAAAAAGTCTCCTTTTATAAATGGGGAAATTGAGGCTCAGAGCAGATAAAGGTGCAGCTGCTGAAGGCTCATGGTGGGGAGTGGCTGAGAAAGAACAGAGCCCAGCTCTCTGGCCTCCTGCTGACTTCCACACCCACATTGGCCTGCACACAGTGGAGAGAGGAGAGCCCCCTCCCGCCCCAAGCTTCCAGCCTTTTAGAATCTCTTGAGATATTTTATTTGTACAGCTTTAACATCACTGGGTCAAATTCTTGGACTGGCCTCTTAGAATTGGGTTGCTGTAAACACAGGAAAAGATATTAAGAGCACAGACATTAGATCCACCTCAGCCCTATGGAATCAGGCCCTCAGGGCTGGGCCTGGCATCGCCTGTTTCACTGGCTCCCCAGGTGCCTCTTCCACGCAGCCAGAATGGGAAACCGCAGTGAAAGGGCATGAGGAAAAGTGTGTTTCTTCATAGCCAAAATGACAGAGAAGTTTTCTCCCTCGGTGTTCCTGAGTCACGACCAAGGCGGACATGTTTATACACTAGTCATGACTGCCCCTCTCCTGTCTGGGCCTCAGCCTTCTCAGCCAGCTGCAGTTTGGGTTTCCTCGGGTCTACTCTGCTGCAGTGTGCAGAAAAGACATAGTATCAATGCCTGGTGCCACCGGAGCCAGCCAGCAGGCCCCAGGCAGATTCCCACGGGCGGCATTAGCTTAGAGGGCTACCGCAGTCCCAGGGTTCACTTTCAGGGGTGTGCTCCTATTAGCCAGGCTCCTGGAGGATGCCTCTCTGGTGCTTTGCCCTGAGGAATATAAACAGCCAGCCCACCAGACCTTCAGGTGCTCGTCCATGAGGCCCTGTGGCTTGGTTGACATGGAATCAGAGCAAGGGCCGGTAGCTGGCGGTCCTTATTGATGGTGGAGTTAAGTTTGATATGTGGAAACTTCCTACTTTGACTGTGGGGTGGCACCATGGGCTATCTGGGGCTAGGGCCCCCTTCCAGCCCCAAATCCACACACTGTGTCTCCATGTGTCTTTCCCTAGTCAGGTCTGGCCTTGGAAACCTTTCTGTCTCATAAAGGTAACGTTGAAGCACATTTTCAACAGGATCCATTAAAACAGCACCTGACCATGTCCCTGCCGATCTGCCCCCCCCGGCTCCCCGGCTCCCTTCCAGCCAGTCCATCTTCCTGCCTCTGCTCCAGCAGCACTGGCCTTTTTCTGCTCTTCACTCTTCAGGGTCTCTGGCCACACAGTTCTCTCTGCCTAGACTAGGCTGCTTCCCACTCAGCCTGGCTAATGACCCCTGACAGTCAGGTAAATAAATGTCCCTTCCTCAGGGAAGCCCTGAGTCAGGTTGTGTCTCACAGCATCCCACGCCCGGCCCTCAGCGCTCATCACAGCCGTCACTGAACAACTGTTTGGACGGTTCACCGCGCACTGCGTCTGTCCCTCATTTGGGTGGAAGCTCCCTGAAGGCCGGGACCATGTGAATCTTTCCATCTTCAAGTCGCTAGCACCCAGCAGTGCCTGGTCCATGGCAGGGGGTTGGTGACTACATGCTGACTGCACATGGCCCTTAGTGGAAAGTTTATAACAGGGGCCCACAAACCGGCTCACAGTCAGAATACCTGGGGATCTCAGTTCTGCCCCCCCACTGGCTGTAGGACCCTGGGCAGGTTAATATTGCTGATTCTTAGCTTCCTTATCTATAAAGTAAGAATAAAAAATAGGCTCTACACTGTAAAGTTTTTTTAGAACTAAATGAAATAAAGAAATTAGAGCCCTGGTCAGTGTGACTCAGTTGGTTGAGTGTCGTCCCATGCACCAGGAGGTTACTGGTTCGATTCCTCGTCCAGGCACATGTCCAGGTTACAGGCTTGATCCCCAGTAGGGGGCGTGCAGGAGGCAGCCAATTGATGTTTACATCTCTCTCTCCCTCTCCCTTCCTCACTCTGAAATCAATAAAAACATATTTAAAACAATTTTTTTAAAGTAAGGATACAACACATGCTTGCTGAAATAAATGCAAATAATAAATCACTGCTCTATTTTAAAAAGAAAAAAGAGAACTTTGAGAGAGCACAAGGAAAATTCTCTATAGACACAAAATATTTGACTATTACCTTTAAAAACCTGTGTGATGTTTGAGAAAGACTGGCAATGTCTTCAAGGTCCAGATAAGAAAGGATAATCAGGAGCACGTTGTCTGAGAGCCGCTCCAGGAAGTCAAATTTACCTTCGCACAAACCGAAGACATAGTCTAATATTCTTGCACCAAATATTAAGGCAATTTGAACTGTAATTCAAAGAAACCAACAAACCAACATGATTATCATGGGCAGTCACATAAAAACGTGATCACTGTCAGTAAGACAAAAGCTTGGGGGCACTTTCCCCCTGGGAGTGACATTAGATTATGCTGAGTCATCCTCCACTGGCCTGCACTTGTGACGCAACTGTTTCCTACCTGAGGTCAGACCTTTTAGGGACACTAAGTGTGTAACGTAGTGGTGGACTGCATCCCCTTGATCTCATCAGCACAAATTCCAGTCCAGACAACGACTTAACCAGCCTCAGCAACATCTTCACCCCGACGGGGCACAGATGCTGGTCCATGCGGGTTTTCTGCCAGCCCTTTGCTCCCCAGATCGGCCTGAATTTTATTTAATTCTTGTTCTCTTATCGTTATATGTAGTGTCTCCACCAAGTTTTCTCCCTTCCTCTTTACCTTCTTCTCCTTCTTTTTAAAGAATAGTTTATTGATTTTTAGAGAGAGAGGAAGGGAGGAGAGAAACATCACGGCCAGCTGCGTCCTGCACGCCCCTCCCGGGGTCCGAGCTAGGAACCTGCACATGTGCCCTGCCCGGGAATCGAACCAGCCGCCTTTTGGTGTACGGATGGGGCTCACCCAACCGGCCAGGGCCCTCTGTACCTTCTTTTTATCTTCATCTTTACACAGTAGGAAAAATGGAGGCAAAAGGAAAAAATAGATAAATATTTCATGAAAATTGTGTGAACCTCTGCCTAATAGTATTCATACCTTTTTTGTTATTTCCAAATTAGGAAACAGTTCACAAAGAATCAGCCAATATGATCATCTACCTCACATGTTCAGTGTAGGAGGAAATAAGAGGTTTTGCTGGTTTTGGCTTTTGGTTTTTTTTTTAATCCCAATTCCCTGAATAACCAAGAAATGGCTAATAAATAGGAAAACATGTCAGAAGGAAACATATTCAAATTTTAACAGTGGTTAAATCTGGGTGGTGACTTTTATTTTTTTGTTTTTCTGTATTTTCTAATCTTTCTACTGACAAGAAAAAATTCTGAGATGTCCTAAATTAAATTACAGCAGGCCAGAGGGTGGTAGGGAGACAGAGAGGCTAATCGGTTAACCGCAGGGCAAAACCGACAAAAGCCTGCTGACACTCCTGGTGCATGCTGAAGCTCCGAACCAGCTTCCAGGGCTCCTTCAGAGACTCTCAGACCAGAGGGGCAGGCCACTCAGCGCCACAGCACCCGCTCCCCATTCCCTTTCCAGGCCGCGGCCCGCAACCGCAGCAGAAGAGCCAACACTCCTTCCTCCGACCTCCGCACCTGCCCCGGGACGCCCCGCTTCCCCTGCACCCCTTTACCTACAGCCAGTGTCAGTTCTTTCAAAACAACTGGCATCTTTCTTCCACAAACTCAACAGAGAGAAGAGCCGCCAGCTCCGGGGCGCTAGCTGGCTGCGGGCCGGGCCCGCTCCTTTCTGGCTGCCGTGTCTCCATGGCCCCTTTCCTTCAGAAAAGCTTTCCGCTGTGAAGGTTTTGCTCATCACTATAATAAACCCGTATTACCTGTGTGATTTTTGCAGTCCAGGAAGGAAGGGGGGAAGAGAGGGAAGGAAGGAGAGAGGGAGGTGAGGGCAGAGGGAGGGGGACGGGCGGAGGAGAGAAAGATACATAAGGACAACTTCTAAAATAGCTGCTCTGCAGTCAGTGGGAGACTGGGGCCCAGCTGCACAGAGCAGGCAACTCCGCGGAAGGAGGTTAACAAGCAGGACTTGGCTCTTTCCTCGCACAGTTAGATTCCGGCCCGGGCTCCATTCCGCTACTCCTGCCCCAGGGTCCTTTATCTGTCTCACTTTCTAGGGTGTGGCTCTCACCCTCGGGGGCGCTCCCAAGGCATCAGCCGCGGTGCGGCAGGTCAAGGGGCACAGCAAGGAGCGAAAGTGCGCATGGCCGCTGGGTCTGTCCCCGTCCGAAGGCCCCTTCCGGGAGCTCTGCGACAGGACTCGAGCCCACATCGCACTGACCAAAACTGGGTCACCCGGCACATCTGCAAGGTACCGGGGAAACGCCGCCTCCGTCTTGGGGGAGAAACGCAATAAAGAAAACAAAAAGAAAGCAGAAAACGGGAGCCAAACAAAAAAGCAAAGAAAAAGTCTCATCAGATAAAAGCCCAAGATAAGAGGATAGAAATTACGGCGAGCAGCACTCCTGATGCTCGTGGATGAACGAATCGGCCGGTACGGCTCAGATAAGAAACGCGCACGCTGCTTACAAGAGGCCTGGTGAAAACTGATGATGTGGGGAAGTGAAAGCGGCGGTCTGGGAAAAGACTGACTCGCACCAACAGAAAACCAGGTATTACTAGCAGGTGGGGGAAGTAACAGGCAAATCCCCAACTACCTGGAAACAAAATGGTTTCAACAAAATGGTTATAAATAACCTGTGAGCCAAAGAAGAAATCAAAATGGAACTTAGAAAATATTTTAATCTGAATGAGACTAAAAATATAATTGATCAAAACTTACCTAATATAGATACAGAAGCACTTAAATTTAGGGGGGAAATGGCTGAAAACAACGATTAAGCTTCTATCTCAGGAAACTAGGAAGAGATCAACAAATCAGACCTAAAGGAAGTGGTAAGAAGGAAATAATAATAAAGGCCAGAACAGAAATCAATAACTACAATGGAGAAAATCCATAGGGCTGAAAGTTAGTTCTTCGAAAAAAATTAAACTGAGTAACCCCCAACAAGATTCATCAAGAAGAAGAAAAAAGGGGGAGAAAGCACAAATCACCATGATCGAGGAAAGAAAAAGAAAACATTACAACAGATACTACAGACGTTAGGAGAGAATATTCTGAGCAACTTCACCAACATATTAGATGACTTGGATAAAATGAAGTAAATGTGACTAATGTTAACGTCTTTGGTGAGTGGCGTTGGGTATCTGTAATATTCCTTTCTATTTTTTTTGTAGGTGTAAGATATTTCTAAATTTAAAACTTTTAAAGGTCAAGGTATAGATCATAAGGTACAAGGTTCTTCTTTCATGTTAACACATGTTGTATATATGCGCAGAGGATATGCAGGGAACTGCTCCCATGCTGTCTCCTAGAGCTTCTGCCCCAAACACGCTCCCATCCCACCCTCCACCCACATGACCCACCCCAGGTCTGCAGAAATTCTGGAAATCCAGGCTGACGACAGGGAGTGGCTGACCAGAGGAGCAGTCAGAGGTGGTGGCGAGGCCGGAGAAATTCGGTCCCAGGTCCAAGGCTGAGATGTAGGCCTGGAGAAAGGACCTAGAGAAACGGATTAGGGATCCACAGGTGGGGCTGGCCCAGGATGGGCAGAAGGTAAGGACTGCTCTTTCCCGTTTTCTGATTCCTAGTATACCACTACTCCTAGCATCTAGAACTCAGGCCAATATTTCAGGATACTAGTGTTTATTAATATTATCAATTTTTAATTCTAGTCCTCACTTCAAACATTCAGTCCCATTCTCCCCATAATCATCTAAATGTCCAAGGGAATTTCAACACTTTAACATTGAGACTCTATCTCCCACATTTCCTTTCACATACAACACCAGAAATAAGAAACCTTTGTCGTTTGGTTCAGAAAGTATGGCTGTTGCCATTTGGTTTTATCACAGGGATTTTTGTGGATTACCCTAAATGCTTAACCACCACTTAGAATCATTCGAAGATCTAAGCAACCAACTTTAAAATGAACATAATTGGAAAACAACTTATTTTTAAGTTGGATTCAATCTCAACCCATGAATCAGCACTTTCGATTGAGTTTATATTGGCACATTTTTTACCTGAAACTACGTTTTAAAAAAAGTTTCCAATAGCTAATTTCTTGATTGTTCGTATTTAACTTAGGAAAAAAAAATCTATAGCTGTTTCCTTGGATTGTTAAAGGTCTCGGAAAGAAAACATTTGCAACTTCACAGACAAATGGACAAAGAATGCAAACAGGCAAATTACAGAAAGGATATAAATGGCAATTTAACACAGCAGGAGGCTCAACTTACTCGTTAACAGGATAATGTTAATTAGACAAGATATTAATTTCACCATTTGACTGGAAAAGATGAAAAAAAGACAGCAATATCTAATTAGTGACGGCAAAGGTGTAAGAAAACGCCTGTATCCTGGTGGATAAAGTATAATTAATATATCAGCTGTTGAGGGGGCGCAATTTGTGAGTATAGTGAAGTGACTGGCATCTTATGTAAGTTTTGAACCACTAGTGGACATTGGGTCCACAGTGAATATAAATCCCGTTCTCCTGAAAGATTCACACCCCAGCCACCTGCCTGGTCCCACGGGCCGACCAGCCAGGCTCCCAGGCAAGAAGGGTTATTACTGGCAGGCCAGCTCCAACACAATGACTGGCCAATGAAATATGATCGTATTGTTTAGGTATTAATCCTGTAAACCAAAAGTAGGAATAAATGTTACATGAACCCAGGGACACTTTCTAAGTGTGGGTATTTTGGACAGGTCCAGATGTCCTGAAAGTGTTTTAAATTACTCAACACTGAAATATTGTGACATCAATACATTAACAAAGTCTCATTTTATGAACAGACGTTGAAATAATGGCTGCTGTGCTGAGAACAAACTATTGCGGAGCAAGGGCGGAAAGAGTGAGACCAGATGGAAGTCCAATTCAGTTATCTGGGAAAGAGGTTGTCCTTGGTTGGACCAGAGGTTCTTTTAGAGACACGTACTGAAGTCGTTTAGGATGAAATGATGTAACAATGGAGATTTGCTTCAAAATAATCCAGTGGGAACAGTGGGTTTATGTACATTTTGGGTATTGTGGAAGCTGGGTTAGGGGTAAGTGAGAGTTTTTAAAAAAAACATTATTGTAGTTTTTATGTTTGAAAATTTCACATTGTGAAGGGAAAAAAGCATAGGGGAAACTGGAGGGTAATTTCTATTAAGTCCAAGTATTTACTTGATTAAGATAACTTCTCAACCAAACCTTGATAGTAGAAGAAATGATA